ATATATATATATATATATATATATATATATATATATATATATATATATATATACACTATATTGCCAAAAGTATTTGCTCACCCATCCAAATTATTGGAATCAGGTGTTCCAATCACTTCCATGGCCACAGGTGTATAAATTCAAGCACCTAGGCATGCAGACTGTTTTTACAAACATTTGTGAAAGAATGGGTCGCTCTCAGGAGCTCAGTGAATTCCAGCGTGGAACTGTGATAGGATGCCACCTGTGCAACAAATCCAGTCGTGAAATTTCCTCGCTCCTAAATATTCCACAGTCAACTGTCAGCTGTATTATAAGAAAATGGAAGTGTTTGGGAACGACAGCAACTCAGCCACGAAGTGGTAGGCCACGTAAACTGACGGAGCGGTGTCAGCGGATGCTGACGCGCATAGTGCGAAGAGGTCGCCAACTTTCTGCAGAGTCAATCACTACAGACCTCCAAACTTCATGTAGCTCAAGAACAGTGCGCAGAGAGCTTCATGGAATGGGTTTCCATGGGCGAGCAGCTGCATCCAAGCCATACATCACCAAGTGCAATGCAAAGCGTCGGATGCGGTGGTGTAAAGCACGCCGCCACTGGACTCTAGAGCAGTGGAGACGCGTTCTCTGGAGTGACGAATCGCGCTTCTCCATCTGGCAATCTGATGGACGGGTCTGGGTTTGGCGGTTGCCAGGAGAACGGTACTTGTCTGACTGCATTGTGCCAAGTGTAAAGTTTGGTGGAGGGGGGATTATGGTGTGGGGTTGTTTTTCAGGAGTTGGGCTTGGCCCCTTAGTTCCAGTGAAAGGAACTCTGAATGCTTCAGCATACCAAGACATTTTGGACAATTCCATGCTCCCAACTTTGTGGGAACAGTTTGGAGCTGGCCCCTTCCTCTTCCAACATGACTGTGCACCAGTGCACAAAGCAAGGTCCATAAAGACATGGATGACAGAGTCTGGTGTGGATGAACTTGACTGGCCTGCACAGAGTCCTGACCTCAACCCGATAGAACACCTTTGGGATGAATTAGAGCGGAGACTGAGAGCCAGGCCTTCTCGTCCAACATCAGTGTGCGACCTCACAAATGCGCTTCTGGAAGAATGGTCAAAAATTCCCATAAACACACTCCTAAACCTTGTGGACAGCCTTCCCAGAAGAGTTGAAGCTGTTCTAGCTGCAAAGGGTGGACCGACGTCATATTGAACCCTATGGATTAGGAACGGGATGTCACTTAAGCTCATATGTGAGTCAAGGCAGGTGAGCAAATACTTTTGGCAATATAGTGTATGTGAAGGCCCTATCATATGGTAACCCCTTTATATGGCTCCTTGGTTGAAGGCCCAATCATATGGTAACCCCTATATATGACACCCTGGGTGAAGGTCCTATCATATGGTAACACCTATATATGACGCCCTGGGTGAAGGTCCTATCATATGGTAACCCCTTTATATGGCGCCCTGGGTGAAGGTCCTATCATATGGTAACCCCTTTATATGGCGCCCTGGGTGAAGGCCCTATCATATGGTAACCCCTTTATATGGCGCCCTGGGTGAAGGTCCTATCATATGGTAACCCGTATGAATGGCACCCTGAGTGAATGCCCTATCTTATGGTAACCCCTATATATGGCGCCCTGGGTGAAGGTCCTATCTTATGGTAACCCATATATATGGCGCCCTGGGTGAAGGCCCTATCATATGGTAACCCGTATGAATGGCACCCTGAGTGAATGCCCTATCTTATGGTAACCCCTATATATGGCGCCCTGGGTGAAGGTCCTATCTTATGGTAACCCATATATATGGCGCCCTGGGTGAAGGCCCTATCATATGGTAACCCGTATGAATGGCACCCTGAGTGAATGCCCTATCTTATGGTAACCCAAATATATGACGCCCTGGGTGAATGCCCTATCTTATGGTAACCCGTATGAATGGCACCCTGGGGGAATGCCCTATCTTATGGTAACCCAAATATATGACGCCCTGGGTGAATGCCCTATCATATGGTAACCCGTATGAATGGCACCCCTGGTGAATGCCCTATCTTATGGTAACCCATATATATGGCGCCCTGGGTGAAGACCCTATCATATGGTAACCCGTATGAAAGGCACCCTGGGTGAAGGTCCTATCATATGGTAACCCGTATGAATGGCACCCTGAGTGAATGCCCTATCTTATGGTAACCCATATATATGGCACCCTGGGTGAAGGTCCTATCTTATGGTAACCCATATATATGACGCCCTGGGTGAAGACCCTATCATATGGTAACCCGTATGAATGGCACCCTGAGTGAATGCCCTATCTTATGGTAACCCAAATATATGACGCCCTGGGTGAAGACCCTATCATATGGTAACCCGTATGAATGGCACCCTGGGTGAATGCCCTATCTTATGGTAACCCATATATATGACGCCCTGAGTGAATGCCCTATCATATGGTAACCCGTATGAATGGCACCCTGGGTGAATGCCCTATCTTATGGTAACCCATATATATGACGCCCTGGGTGAAGACCCTATCATATGGTAACCCGTATGAATGGCACCCTGAGTGAAGGTCCTATCTTATGGTAACCCATATATATGGCACCCTGAGTGAAGGTCCTATCTTATGGTAACCCATATATATATGACGCCCTGGGTGAAGACCCTATCATATGGTAACCCGTATGAATGGCACCCTGGGTGAATGCCCTATCTTATGGTAACCCATATATATGACGCCCTGGGTGAAGACCCTATCATATGGTAACCCGTATGAATGGCACCCTGAGTGAAGGTCCTATCTTATGGTAACCCATATATATGGCACCCTGAGTGAAGGTCCTATCTTATGGTAACCCATATATATATGACGCCCTGAGTGAATGCCCTATCATATGGTAACCCATATATATGAGGCCCTGGGTGAAGACCCTATCATATGGTAACCCGTATGAATGGCACCCTGGGTGAATGCCCTATCATATGGTAACCCATATATATGGCACCCTGGGTGAAGGTCCTATCTTATGGTAACCCATATATATGACGCCCTGGGTGAAGACCCTATCATATGGTAACCCGTATGAATTGCACCCTGGGTGAATGCCCTATCTTATGGTAACCCAAATATATGACGCCCTGGGTGAATGCCCTATCATATGGTAACCCATATATATGGCACCCTGGGTGAATGCCCTATCTTATGGTAACCCATATATATGGCACCCTGGGTGAAGGTCCTATCTTATGGTAACCCATATATATGACGCCCTGGGTGAAGACCCTATCATATGGTAACCCGTATGAATGGCACCCTGGGTGAATGCCCTATCTTATGGTAACCCATATATATGGCACCCTGGGTGAAGGTCCTATCTTATGGTAACCCATATATATGACGCCCTGGGTGAAGACCCTATCATATGGTAACCCGTATGAATGGCACCCTGGGTGAATGCCCTATCTTATGGTAACCCAAATATATGACGCCCTGGGTGAATGCCCTATCATATGGTAACCCATATATATGGCACCCTGGGTGAATGCCCTATCTTATGGTAACCCATATATATGGCACCCTGGGTGAAGGTCCTATCTTATGGTAACCCATATATATGACGCCCTGGGTGAAGACCCTATCATATGGTAACCCATATATATGGCACCCTGGGTGAAGGTCCTATCTTATGGTAACCCATATATATGGCGCCCTGGGTGAAGGTCCTATCTTATGGTAACCCATATATATGGCGCCCTGGGTGAAGGTCCTATCTTATGGTAACCCATATATATGGCGCCCTGGGTGAAGGTCCTATCTTATGGTAACGTGTCTGTGTGGTATGAAGCCTATAAATGCCGCTGCTGTTAAAAGTGCAGCTTAATCAAAAGTAAAGCACATCTTCGTAAGGTTGTGAACGTGTTCGTCTTCCCACTTTACAGTCGCCTCAGGACGGCGCGTGCCCGCCTTCCCTGGCCAGCCCAATCTCTCCGTCGCGCGCGCTCCCGCATAAACTCGTTGAGTGAAAAAAAAAACTGCAGCGGAGATTCTGGAAAACATAAGCGGTGCAAAAGTAAAAGAAGTAAAACGGTTAAAAACAACAAGAAACGGAGAAAGATCTGACAGTTTATCTGTACTAATTAAATTCGAGGAAGAGCAATTACCAAGCAAAGTATTCATCGGTTACATCAGTTACAATGTCAAAATCTACAATCCACCACCATTGAGATGTTTCAAATGTCAAAAATTCGGACACATTGCAGCAGTTTGTAAAGGGAAACAGAGGTGTGGAAGGTGTGCAGGAGAACATGAATATGGTAAATGTGGAAAAGAAGCTAAAATAAAATGCTGTAATTGTGGTGGAGAACATACTGCTGCTTATCGCGGCTGTGAAGCAAGCAAAAGGTCTGAAGAAATAAAAAAAATGAAATTTGAGCTTGGAATAACTTATGCTGAAGCTGCAAAAAGGATCCCATCTCAGTCAGAAAAACCCAAACCTACAGTTCAACACACGGCAAATTTCAAACCTCTAGAGAAATCTCCAAAAATTGATGAAGACTCACTAATTGTTAAAAAGACAAATTTTGTTCTTTTCATGGTGGAAGTGATTAATTGTACTGCTCAGACGACAAAAAAAACAGAAAAAATCAAAATAATAGTGAAGGCTGCAGAAAAATATCTGGATGTTAAAGATATGAACTGGGAGATGGTTGGAAGCATGATGGAAAGACCAATGGGACCATCAGAAACTGGCAGAGGTACGATGACCTAGAGTAAATTAAATTATACGGGCAAATGTAATTTAGTATAATTTAGTATTATGTGGGTTTAAGTTACACAGGTTATTTTATTGTATTTTTTTTTTTTTTTTTTTTTTTTTTTTTTTTTTTGGGGGGGGTGAATCGTTTCCTGTTTCCTTGCTTTACTCCATATCAGTTGGTGGCGGTAATGCACATTTCACAAGTTTGCCAACCGCCATAAAATCTCATAAGAAGAAGAAAACTGCAGCGGCTGTTGGAGGAGCCACGCAGAGCAGAGCAGCGGTGTCCGAAAGGCTCTAACAGCAGGTCAGCAACTCAGTCTCTGCTCTTTTTCTCTGTTACTTTTCGAGTCAGTCCAGTTTAAGCCAAAAAAAAAAAGGCCCTTCTGGAGCTGGAGTTATTATTTCCCAGAAGTGGGAGCGGTGTCGACGAGGAGACGCTCTGCGGGGGTAAGGAAACGTTAGCCCGGGGTTTCTGTTTTCTTTCTCGTCGCAAAGTGTCTCAGCCACAAAGTGTCGCCAGTGTTCCCAAGTTCTACTTTATACAGCTGAGGGGGTCTTTGGGAGATTTTATTTAACCGTTAGCTGCTGCTGTCAGAGTGTTTCTTTTTTTGTTGTTTTCCCTCCTTCATGGATGTCAGGACTGAAGTTTTTACCATCCCATTTCAAACTGGTACCGCTACAACGTTAGCTGCTGCTGTCATAAGTTTGTAGAGACATACCGAGAGGTTCGGTTCGGGTACAGCAGGTAAGCTAGCACCGAACTCCAACTGGTGGGTGTTTACTAACAGGGCTGAGCGAGGCTGGGGTTAGTTTAGCCCCAGCAGGGGTCTTTAATGGGGAGTGGTACCTGGTTAGATGGGAGAGAGGTTAGCTGCAAAATGCTGCTGATAAACTGGATGATCATTTTCAAGCTTTTATTGTTGTCATTCTGATTTTAGAATAGATAATGCAATAGAACATTCATTTATTGTCCCACAATGGGGAAAATCTGGTGTTTACAGCATCTAAAAATATAATAGAAAACATTGTCACACAAATGTGGACCTTAGAAGAGTGTATGAGAGTAGCAGAATAGTGAAGAGTTAAAAGGTAAACAAATAAAAATGCAATACTGTACTGTAAATAGTTTTAATGTGCACCTGGAGAATAAATAAGCAATATATAGCTGTGGACATTTTTACAGTAATGGATATTTGAAAATGGCAGCAATGTCTGAGATGACAGCGAAATGACAGCAGCGTGTTATTTAACTAAGGTAGAAACTGCAAAAATCAGCGTAAATGTAAAAACTTACTGAGGTTGTTGGGAATAGTGGTGGTTATAGAGCAGGGGTGTCAAACTGGTTCCAGAAAGGGCCGTGTGGCTGCAGGTTTTCTTTCCAACCAAGCAATAGCACACCAGACTCCATTCATCTCATCAAGTGAGTCTAATCTTAACATGATGACTTGATGAGATGAGGGAGTTTGGTGTGCTATTGCTTGGTTGGAAAGAAAACCTGCAGCCACACGGCCCTTTCTGGAACCAGTTTGACACCCCTGTTATAGAGTCTTAACAGCTGCTGGGAGGAAGGATCTGTGATAACGCTCCCTGGTTCATTTAGGGTGCAGCAGTCCGTCACTGTAAGGCATTATCGTTAGATTTATTTTTTTATGTGTTGCGAAATGCTCCTATTTTTCATTTTTTTTTTTTTTTTGTTTGTTTCATCTTGCCAAGCCCCTTTGGGTTACCTTCAGAGGGTTTGTAAATTAGCTGACCTGGAGTAGTTATTAGTGATCAGTAAAATATGATAGTGTCTCCCACTCAGGAACATTGTGACCAAGTGTTTATTATTGATTTATCTGAGCTAGGGCTGCAATTAAGGATTATTTAGCAAATCGATTAATCCGTCGGTTATTTCTCAGATTAATCGATTAATAATCAGATAGCCAAAGGTTTCTTACAGATTTTTAATATATATTTTTTTTTTTGCAAAATCATACCAGGTCAAACTAAAACTTTTCCATTTTAGGAGTTCTGGATAGAGCATGTTTATGGACTAAAAAGTTTTTTTTTTTTTTTATCTTAAATGCTAAATGTTTACTTTTTTTTTTCAATTTTAAAATAATTACTGCTCTAAGTGGGTTGCTCTGTCAGCTAAAGGCATATTTTACAGTCTCTATACTCGAGTTAATGATTAATCGAGTACTAAATTAGTTGATGATTGTTTCAATAATTGATTAATCGCGATTAATCCGATTAATTGTTTCAGCCATAGTTCTTACCTTAGTTTTGAAGTCACACTGATTTAATAGAAGCAGGAGCAATAATGTTGCATATACACCAATTTGGCTTTTATTCAAATTTTGTTTCTGGCTTATACTGATTATCTTTGTCTGACCTGCTGACAAAGTTTTAATAATTAAATTTTTTACTCAATGTACTATCTGCGATATCAGCATAAATCATGCATATTTTATAGCTCTGTTGAATAAAATGTTAGAAAAGGCTTGATCAATGGATATCATTCAAACAGGAAATAACTGTCAACAAAAACAGGTAGGAATTAAAGCTCACCCATTTGTTATTAACCAATGGGTTATGTAATCTTTCAAGAAAACTTTATTATTCTTAGAGCTGAAATTTGGGTCCAGTTTTCTTAATTTTAGGCGGTGTGACTGTCTGATACCTAAGATGCCTTAAAGGTCTGAAAAGCAGCTGCTGTTAATGCTGTAAACTTTTTATTTATATAGGAGACTACCTCATTTTTAGATCCAATCAAGTTTATATCGTGTTGCGGGTATTTCTGTTCAAATGTTTTTTTTGTTGTTAAATCATTTTCAGATTTTTTTTTTCTTTTTTTTGGTGGTCGGCCAGAAATCTGCAATTGCTGATTTTAATAGTTACCATTGGAGCTGAATGTATGTTTCCACATATCTAATGCCGATACTTTTGCTGAAAACTGCTTATGTTATTACCAGTTTCCTTTCTTCCTGTTTATGTTACAAACTCTTCAGCTTCAACATCTCAGCAGCTAAAGACGAACATCAGAGGAAGCAGGTCAAAACAATTAGACTCCAGCAAATGGCCCAAATCTATTATTGATGGGCAATTATGCAATTGTCAGACACTTAACTTAATGTTGCAGTTTTCTGAGATTGTCATATCATGATCTGATAAGTTATTGATGGTAAAATAAAAACCTAAATGACCAGCCAGGGCACTGAGCTCTCAGCAGCCCTGTTCACCCCTCCTAGAAGCAGAGTTAACTTATCTAGTGGTCAGTAGCTGCCGTCCTCATAGTGGCAGAAGGACTTTTCAGACTGTTTATTTATTTATTTTTTCTTGCCATAGCTTTTTTTATAAAATAGCTCCATAGTTTTCCTATAAACTAAAATTTCCAATGAAAATCACAAAAATGAAGTGTTTATTGTTTGCTTATACAGTGTGAAATAGTTTTATTTGAGGTAATAAAAAAATCTTTTTATATGGATCAGTCAATCGCTGATAAAGAGAGAATTGATTGATTTCAGTTTCTGGATGGTTTGTTTGCATAACTTTACTAAATGGCACAACAACCAAGTCATTTAATTATTTAATGTTTGATTAGATAAAGAGAGGCAAGCTGTCCTTTTCTCTTATAACTGTAAAGTAGAAGCTTGCCTGTTAAGTGCTTTGCTTAAAGCAAAATGTTCATTGGTTTTTGGCATCACAAGTTCAGGTCACTTGAAGGTTTAAGTGGATCTTTGCCCCGAGCATGGGCTCCAGCAGAGCGCCCTCTGTGCTCCTGATAAATGAGCTCTTCTCTTCTTCATTCCACTGGGATTCCAGTTTTCTGTTCTTGTTTTTACTCACTTTCACAATGACAGATAGAGCCGCTTCTGGCGTTCTGTCAGCACTCCCTCAGAGAGAGGTCCCAGTGGGTTTGCGTCCTGGTGACGGTCCACCGGATGCTCGTCCAGAGAGCGGAGTCGAACAGATGTTTGTGGGATGGTTTCCTACATCTCTGAGTCGGGGACATACCTTTCATTCTTGTGGTGAGCAACAGGAAGGTTGTGTTTTGTGCTGATCTGGATATTGTAAACAGAGAAGTTATGTTTTTTTTTAGGTGCTCTGTTTTTGACCGTTAAACACAAAGTCTGACAGGAGTAAACCCTCAATACTCAACTTTGGGTAGTGTTGGCTAGTGGTTAAAGCAGTGCGCTTGTGCTCTGGGAAGGTTGCAAGTACTCTGTTCATCCCCACAAACTGCACTCTGGGTCCCTGAGCAAAAGCCTTAACCCCACACCGCTCCCCGGGCGCCACACAATGGCAGCCCAGTGCTCCCCGATGGAATGGGTTAAATGCAGAGAATGAATTTCCCCAGTGTGGAAAAATAAAGGAATTTACATTACATTAAATTTACTAAGACCTTTTGTAGCAGGTTTTTTTTTTTTTTTTTTACAGTTTTAAGCAAAAAAAATAAAAAAATTTAACACATCTAAAACATGAAAAGTTAAAACAATCTACCATGAGTCCAACTGGAATTAAGTGCTTATACATGTTTGGTTTTGGTTAATTTTGGTTCATGGTTTCATTTTTAGTTCAGACCAAACAAACCAGCTTGAATCAGTTTGTTAGAAATAAAGTTTCTGTTAGATGAAAGAGGCTTTGCTAAAACGTACAAAACATTCTCATCTGTTCAGCAATTACTGCATCATGAGCTAACGAGCTGCATAGCGAGAACAAACTGCATTATTTATCAACACAAAACGGACATGAAAGCAGGGAATTCTCTCTCATCGCTATTATTTACCTTCTTAAATAATTTCTCAAGGTCTGTCTGAATTTCCTATTGTAACTAAGCTGTTTTTTTTTTTGTTTATTGTGGAAACATTTTTTGAAATGTTTTATGAAAAAAACTGAAGTAAATTTTTCTTGAAACGATTTTGTTTTTTATTTTTAGAATTATGCAGGTAAGAATTGGCCATTGGTTTTTGCCATTTCAAATAAGGAATAAATATACTTTATTATTATTTTTTGATAATTTTTTGCAGAGAATTAATGTAGTTTTCAATTTGGTTTGTTATTTTCTTAATTTCAGTATAATTAAAAAAGGTTCACTCCTTTGTACAAATTGACGTCCTGCGCTTCATGACATCTGTCTGAAGCAGGAGCCTGAAGTGGTTTTAATGTCAGACATTTCAGCAGAAGTAGCCTGTTCTTGTGTTTTAACTTTGAATGTTAGTTCAGTTATGACCCGTTTCCACATGACTCGACCGGAGCAAGAGATTTGACAAAAGCGTTTTCTTTCAAAATAAATGTGTTTCTCTCTAAACATACAGAAGTGTTGGATCAGTTTCATATTTTGTGTTTAAAAGAGGTTTTTGTTTCATGTCTGTAGATTTAATCAGTTGTCTCTTTTCAAAAATACTTCAATAAGATCAAGTTTGAAATCGTTATTTTTCGACACATTATCTGCTTACGTTAAG